TTAAACACCCTCCCCAGCACCCTTCGGGCTGCCTTCCTCCAGCTCGCAGAGACCAAGCGCCTCCGTCCTCCCCGTGCCCCTGCCCTGCCCGACGGCGGCCCTCTCTCTTCTCTTCCTGTCCTTGACCACCGAGGCCACAGCCCCATTTGTTCATTTCCCAGCCCGGACACTGGACCCTCACACCTAACCGGGGCCTGTGCGAGCTCCCACTTCCATCGCAGCCGCTGGGCTCCCTTCCCTGAGCTGCTCTGGAGAACAAAGCCGCCCGGTTCCTACGACCCCACCAAGTTCACACTCCTGCTGACCTCCTGTTCCCTAAGCCCAGCCACACTGGCCATGCTCTCTGCACAGCCTGTGCTGTCACAGGGCGTCCCTAGGGCAAATACTGTCAATATGCTCCTGTCCCCAAACATATCCATCCACCAGCCCAACCCTCTCTGAACTCCAGACTCCACGCCCCCTCTCGGACGCCTCCCCCAAGCGACCAGCGCGCAATGCTGGCTGCCGCCCAAACCAGGTCCTCCCTCGCTTTCCCGCTCAGTGCCAAGCACCACTACAGGCTCGCCCGCCTGCCCAGGCCAGAGGGGACCGAACCCGCTGTGACCCTGCCACTCCCTCCCCTCCCCAACATTCGACCCAACCAAAGTCCCTCAGTTTTACCCCGCAAACAGACGATAAACCTCTGGCCTTGTCGGCATCTCTGTAGCCACTGCCCCAGCCCAAAGTGTGCCATTCACACGAGGATGCGTGACAACCCCCTGAGCACCCCGCCCGGCCCCCATGACCCGTGACTGGCCCCTCCCTGCCCAGGGCTGGGTCAGCCCGTCCCGTAGGCTCAGACTGTGTCCCGTCCCTGCTGAGATTTCCTACCGCCTTCCGATCACACCCGCGCTCTCGCTCTGTTCTTCCCAGAACCCGCTCACCCCTGGGATTTGGCCTGAGCGGTCACTCCTCCGAGAGGCTGGCCCTGACCACTCTGTCCCAGCTGGTCCTCTGCCTTTCCTCGCCCCGTTCTTTCCAAGCACGCACCCCATCTTTGTCTATACCCATCGCCGCACCTCACCGTGAATGCCTATTTTACACACCATCTCACGTCATGTCCAGCACAGACGTCCACTAAACTTAAGCTACACAGATGAATAAACAATCACTTCCAAGCGTAAACTGGGGTCAGTTCTCTAGCACCCAGGTTTACAAAATGTTTCAGAGAAAGAGGGATGTGCAACAGGGAAAATTGCAAAACATCTCTGTGGACAGAGACCCCATCAGATCGCCTGCTGGCGGCCTCTCCTGCTTCCTCCGGACAGACCAGTCTGCCAGCGCTGCCAGCGACCAGACTGGGAACTGAAGGAGACGAGGCCGGTCTTCACTGCCCCAGGCCTGGGCTCAGGAAGCAGGTATACAAGCCCACGCAGAGGCAGGACCAGGGGCAACACGTGGACACCTGGGCCCTGCCAGCCTTTGGGCGCCTCCAGCAGGATGGGGTCAGGGTGCGCCTGTTCGTTCAAGGCTGGAATGGGGGCTGAGCACTAAGGCTGTCTCTGGTCCCAGCCAGAGCTGAACTCACCAGGCTGGGTTTCTGAACAAGCCCCCATGCTGCTGGCAGACACTCCGGTGCCCACAAGGTCTCGGTCATGTGTAAGAGATGCCAGCAGCCTCTGCCCATCTACCTAGCTCCACAGACACCTGCGCTACAAGGGCTCCAGGGTGCTGCCCTCCCAAAACCACCTTTTCCTCCCAGCCTGGGCAGTCCCCCCCGGCTCCCACCCAAAGTACTGGCTGCGCCCCACCCCCCAACACACACATCAGGCCCGTGTCTCACCTTGATGTAGGCGTCCAGGGCAGGATGAACACGGCGGGTAGCCAGCCAGATGGACAGGGCGGTGGTGTAGGGGAAGGTGGCCGTCACCACGTGGCTTGGTGCCGGGAAGGAGAACACCTTGAAGCCAAATTTCTGGTAGAGCTGGATAAGCTCAGGGGAGGGCGACTCCTCACCTTCACTCAGAATGCTGCCCACCGCACAGCGGCACTTCTCCGGGGGGACCTGGGAGGCAGAGCAGGGGTGTCAGTGTCACACAAAGGAAGGAGGGCCCCAGATCTCTTGCCTCTTGGGTTCTGTGTCAGTTCAGGCCTGGCAGAACCACCAGTTCCAACAGGCTGTGCCCCAGAAATCAGGATGGACAGGACCACTTTTCTGCTGGACCCTCTCTGGGGCCCCGGCCTGTGGCATCCTGCCGCAGGGCCCACCCACCCTTTCCTCCATTCTTCCAACAACGAGGCCAGCCCCCAGGACGGCTGCGCAGAGGCTGCAGGAGGCGCTGGTCCGGGAGCAAGATCGCACTGAACTCTGGATTGCTGATGACACTGTGTGAGACCCTCTTCCCCACTCGTGCAGGCAGGTCCAGCCACCATCGCCCAGCGTAGGCTCAGACTGTGCCAGGCCCAGCCACACGCCAGGCCCAGCCACACCCCAGGCCCGGCCCCTTCCTGGTTAACTCAGAGACTGCTGGTCCCCCTCCGAGACTCTCTGGGCCCCCAGTACCTGGACTGCACTCTGCTCCCCTCCCCAGCTGCCCTCCCGGCCCTGGCTCCCACAAACCCCAGCTGTGTGGGGTGCCTATGTGAGTCTCCAACACGCCCCAGGCCTGGTTCCAGGCCTGCAAGGCCCAGCCCTCGCTTCTCCGCCTGGCATCAAGGGGCCCCAGTGTGCCTCGCTTCCTGCCACCTGAGTCTGTGCCAGCCCTTGGGCTGGGCCCCAGGCGTATCTGTTCCTGAATCTAGACGCTCACCACAGAGCGTGTGCTCTCAATCCCAGGTTCTCCGCCATCCGAAGGCCTCCTTCTCCCCGTGCCTAGGGTCTGCTGACCCCTAAACTCCCTCTACCGCCACCTGCCCCTCCCCCAGCACACTTGCCCAGCACTGCAAAGTCACTTTTACCTATTCTCGCCTCTGCCCTCCACCTGGCCTTTTCCAAGACTTCTCAGCAGTCCCCTGGGGGTTTCTCAGCCCCGCTCTGCCTTTCTGCTCCAGCCAACATGGCCCCGTCTTTGGGGTCTCTCTCTCCTTGGGGTGTGGGCACTGACTCTAGGCTTCCACCTCTGTGCAATCCGCGAGAGTCACCCCAGCTCTCTGGTCCTCTTGAATCTTATGTAATTAAGTGTAGCTCAGGGCTTTAGTGGCAGGAAATATGGGGCAGTGGTCGGGGCCACGACTTCTGGATAGAGGCTTGCCTGGGTGTGAATCCTGAGTCGTGTGACCTGGACAAGTCCCTCGGTTCCCTGGTGGCCCTGCTCCTTGAGGTCTACTTACAGAACGGTTGTGTTGAATGAGATACTTTGCACAAGGCCTTAGCCCTCTCCAGCACTTGACAAATGCTCCATAACTGCTGTCTGTTATTAGTAGCTATGACACAGACCAAACAAGTGACCCCTGGCCTAGAACGCCCATCCACTTAAACCTCTGAACGTGCAGCTCCTCCCTGCCCATAGTTTGGGTTCAAACACCCTCCTGGGGAGCCTGTCAGGGTGACTCGGTGGCACACGTGCCCACACCAATATTTTGCTATAAACTCTTACATCAAGTCTACCTTGCAGCAGTCACTTGGCCTGACGCTCCTCCCGCCCGCCCAGGCAGAGGCGCTGGAGATGCCTGCAGTTCCACCTCTCGTCTCTAGATGGTGCAACTGCCCCACTCACACCCCAGGACGAGAGGAAGGCCAGAGAGGCGGAGGTTCTGGCGGGGTCAGTGCCTGCGGCAAAGCCCACCCTCTCTGACCCTGGCAACCTACGCTGAGCAAAGGCAAGATCCGACATAGGTCACACGGAGAAATGGATGGACGGTCACATAATCTCAACCCCTGGCCTGCCTGGGTATGGGTACCAGGGTCTTCCCTGGGATCGCTTTGGCATCACGACATACTCCTCAGTCCCCAAAAGGCACCAGACCACCTGTGATAATCCTGCTTAGACCCTCCCAATGGCTCTCGATTCGCCTCTAGGATGAAACTCCTGAGCCCAGCATGCAAGGTCAACTTCAGCGGCCCACACAGCACCGCCCTGACTTGTCCGCATACTCACCTGGCACTCCTTTTCTGTGACCCCCAGCCCCAGCAGGGGCCAGAACCCAAGTGGGCAGGTACCCACTGAGCGTCTGCGTGGTAGAGGGAGGGACAAATCAGGCTCTGGCCCAGCCCGCCTTGCCAGCCTCCACTTCCCCCACCCCACCCCCACCCCCACATGGAACTATTTGCGGCTCCCCAAACATGCCCATCCTCCCATGCTTCCTGCCTTTGCGTAAGCTACTTCCTCAACCTGGAATGTCCTTTTTCATCCTACTCCAGAGTCCCGTCTGCCTGGGAAACTCCTGCCTATCCTTTAGGACTCCGCTCCACCCTCCTCCTCGAAGCCTTCTACTGCTTCCCCGCCCAGCAGCCCCTCTTCTCTGGTCCCAAATGCCGGCCTAGGGAGCTGCACGGCAAGCGAAGGCTTCTCCATCTCTCCCCACCACTCCAGGCCTCTAGGCAGAAAGGCCCAGGATCCTGTGTGCACGGTTCTCGGGGTGTCTCAGTGATGGTGCACGTGTGTACACACACGCACACACGGACCCTGCACCACCCACAAACCTCCTCTCCCTCCACCTTGAAACAGGAGGAGCTCCTGTCTCAGGGCGGGGGAGCAGCTACTGAGGAGAAGGGGATCCTGAGGCCCTCAAGGTGTGTGGGGCACAGGCGCTCCCTTCCTGTCCCATCATCTCTCAATTCCACAGATGAGGCCATTTCCTGGCCCCTCCCCTGCCCTGGCCATAGAAGAAGGGGCAGCCCTGCACCAAGCCAGGGGCCAGAGCAGAGCCAGGGGCCAGAGCCGAGCTGGTGAGACAGGCCCTAAGGCGAGGCCGCTCTAGAAGCAGGGGAGGCATCGCTAGGCTCCCAGGCCCGCCCCAGGGGAATGGCCTGCTGAGGTCGCACGGGGCCCAGAAGGTGGGGCTGTGCCCAGGTTTGAATCACGGCTCCACCGCTGTCCTCTAAGGCACAGGTGGATGCGTCTGCTGGGGGGTGGGAACTGGGCCTCATCCTTGTTATTTAGTCCCCAGGAAAACAACTCGAGGCAGGATTTTCAGAGACCGAGTGACTCGCTTAGAGAACACAGGCTGGTAAGCAGTGAAGCCTTGATTCAAATCCAGAAGGACAAGTCCAAAGTCGTCTCCTCCCACCCCTCACCTTTCCTCCCCTCACAAAGCAGCTCCGCTGGGCAGAGAGGGCTCGCCTTTCTGCAGTTAACTGGCTGCGAAGCAACAGCCTGGATGGACTCCGTCTGAAGAAAATTCACAGAGGACCTGGGGTGTGGACGGCCTGGGCCCTTAGGAAACATCGGCCCAGCCCACACTGCCATTGACCTTGTCGAGGGGTCCATCCTGGAAAATCCTACTCCCTCACCCTTTCCCAGGCTCTATGTTACCTTGGTGCCTGCAAAGAGGGCGGGGTCTCCATCCCCCCACAGTGAAGCTGATGGGCCTAAGGGTTTTTGCCAGTCCAAAGCCTCTGCAGACTTGGTGGCCCCAGGCGACTCTCAGTGGACTAGGGGAAGAAAGGAGCTTCAATGGCGGTCTAGCTACCAAAGGCCAAACCCAAGCGCCACCAGCTCCCCCACTCGCTCCACGCCTGGGGCAAGCACCCCCGCCTCGGCCTCGGCCAGGAACTGTACCAGCCGCCCCACCTCATTTGCCTCAGCCAGGCAGGTAGGTTGCTTAAGCCCTAAACACAGCAGTGGAGGCAGTGGGGCTGGGGGTTGGGCAGGAAGTGGAGGGCCAGGCTGGCAGACAGGCCGGACCCACGGCACAGTGACAGTGGCCCAGCCACTAGGGCCCATCCACAGGCCAGAGCTGGTCCCAGCTCCTTCCCTACCCTACATCCGAGGTGCCCAGAGGGGCCGGGCTAAAGGCGCTGCACAGACCCTCAGCCCCCACGTCAGAAGCAGGGCTGAGGGCAGAGCGCTCAGGACACTTCTCCAGCTATACAAGGACAGGGCAGAACGAGGTAAGAGAGGGAGAAGGACAGAGAACGACAGAGAGACAGACAGAGGTGGGGGGAGAGGAGGGAGAGGAGAGTACGCACGCAGACCAGCGACCGACTCTGGAACTCAGCCCACTCCCTCAGTACTTAGAAGAGGAAATGGCCACACTCCACGAACGCTGGGCCCTGGGCAGGAGAGGAACACCTATGAGCCACTGTCAGGGTCTGTCCACTTTCTGCCACACGCTCCCTCCTCCCCCACCTCTACCAAGGCTCTCAGGGACAGTGAGCAGAATCCTTTCTCCTGCCCCACAAAAACCACTGGCCCAGACCCTGCAGCCCGCTTCCATACAGAACTCTGCACAGGATTCAGGGCTGACTGGCACACACACACTAACCTGCCTACCCACTCACCTACCCTCCTAGCTCTAGGATATACATGCTTAAGCAGAATCCGATATAAAGTGTCCACAGCAATCGCCATACTCTTGCCTTGGTAGTGCCCTTTCCTGTGTCACTTACTGGGCCCATAGCCAGACCAGGTGACAGGCCTTTCTCAGGAACCAGCCTCCCTCTGGCCAGCTGAGGCCAGGAGCTGAAGCCTGGACGGGGCATGGCTAGGGAGCTGTCAGTCGACACCCCGTGGGGGTGAGCAGCACCCACGGCAGGTAGCTACCTCTCACCTGGTCACTCACTGGCCCCCTCACAGAGCCTGAAATAGCCTCACTTCCTCCCCAGCTCACAGAGAAGCAGGTTCTGGCTCCCACTGTGCTGAGCTGGGGAGCAAGAAAGTGGGGACAGGACACTCGACGGCTCGGCCGACAGCCTATCCCTCCCTTCTGTGAACCCAAATATGCAAGGCCCCGTTCTGGCCACTGCCGGGGCAGCAGCCTATGGAGGACAAAGTTTAGGTTCTCAGCCTTCCCTAGGACCAGATGGGGCCTCTCCTCCAGGCTCCCCTGACACCCCCACTTGGAGGCATCCTGAGGGCTGGGCCTCTTGGTCCCATAGTGCCCAGTGCCCAACACAGAGTGGCACTGATCAGTTGCTCAAACATTTGTTGGATGAAAACAAAAAAGCACAAGTGAACTGTGAGATAAGCACCTTGGTCCCTGCCACGTGATCAGAAGTCTCCTCTATGAGATCAGCAGTGCGGACCAGAGGCCTCAGCTTAGCCACGAGCCCCTGGGGTCCCCGACTCCCTGAACCTTCTAGGGTCTCTGTCAGGCAGAGAATACACTGCCCAGCTTCCAGAGCAGGTGGGGACGAAACATCCCTGACACATCCAGGTGTCAGGATGTGACACAGCTCTGAATGGAACTCAGGTGTCTTCTAGAGACCCGCGGTTGGGAGGGACAGGATCAGAAGGGCCACTGTGACCTATACATTCCTCTGTGCTGGCCAGATGTCCACGGTCGGGCCACGGGCCTGGGGCCTACCCCCTCGGCACACTTAACAAGCAGGAGTGTCCTTTCCATCCTTTTTTGTCACGGTTAAACATCTGCTGAGGGCCAGGGGCTGGGGTGGATGCCTCGCATATGTCACTGAATTTAACCAGCCTACCTACGAAGCAGGTGTTTTAACACTACTCTGCAGAGGAGGAAATGGAGGCTCAGAGGGGTGATGTGACTTGCCTGAGATCACAGTCCAGGACAACGAAGAGATAGAGTCAGAACCCCAGAATGCCAGCCTCGAGGCTGTACTCTCAGGCTGTGGTCCCCAGGCTGGCAACCAACTCAGGCTGTACCCAGCCAACCCTAGATACCCAAGGCCCACCCATTCGGGTCTACCACACCTCCAGGAGGGCTGTATGTTGGGCTGCCTGGAGGCAGTGGCTGGGCCAGGAGGATATGTGGAGAGAGCCACGTGCCGGGGTTCTTCTAACTCGCTTTCCCTGGACCAGCCTCCGGCACTGACCCCAAGGTATCCCGCTGCCTTGGCCCTCTCCCATCCTGGAACTAGCACCTCTAACCCCAGAGGCAACGTGCGGCTTCTGGAAGAGGAAAGGAACAGCGGCACGGACTCCCCTCCCTCCCACCGAGGCCTTGTAAAGGGCTCTGACTGGGCCGGATGTGGAAGGAGGGGCTGGGACTTACATAACAGACCCCTGCAGGGGTAGCGGCGGCATCTGGGTCCCACAGGCCAGTGCCTGCCCCTTCTCCTTTGGGCCCCAGTGCTCTGGACTCCCACTCGGTGCCATCTCCCAGCCATGTGACCTCAAAACCTCAGTGTCTATTCATCCCTCGGCCAGGCTATTTAACCTCTCACCAGGGCCCAGTCCAATATTCTCAGTGACCTCCCTGCCTCATCTCCTGCCCGCCTCCACCTGCCATCCAGTTAGCTTCCTAAGTCGCAGGTGGCAGATTGTGTCACGCCTTTCCTCCCAACCTGCTGTACCTCCCAAGCCTGGCCTCTTCTACCTCTTTCTCCACTCGCCATATGTCCACTGGCCACCCTTTCTCTGTCATCCTATGTCTGCAGGCCTTTCCAGTTGCAGTTCCCTTAGCCAGGAGGCCCTTCCCAGCAGAGCAAACTTCTACGCGTGGGAGAAGGCCCAGCTGGCATCTACCTCCCCTCTGAGCTCAAAGGTCTGTGAGCACTGAGCACGGTGCCCTGCTGGAGATTCATTAGTGTGGGGCTGATTAGCGGGGCCACTCCTGTTCGTCTTCAGAGTGCAGAACCTGGCACAGAGAGGGAGTCAGCACACCCTTGTTTCGACGGAGCGCCCCAGTGAGGCCTGGTCAGGAGACGATGGGTAGGCTGTAGGCCTGGCCCACATGAACTCTCCAGGCGAGGAAACCAGAGCTGGGGATTCCGAAGGCCTCATCTGCCAAGGCTCGGAGCTGGAGGCTGAAGAACCTCTGGCAGAGCTGCCAGCTCATACAGCTGTGGGCAGCACCGCCCATGGCATGGCAGGAGGCCACATTGGTGAGCCCTGACTCACTCCAGGCTGTAGGTACAGGCAGACGCCCACAGGGTGCCAATGATGCCGGGTTAGTCTCCAACCCCAGCATCTTAGACATTCTGGGCAGCTCACCTGGCTCCACCTGACCTCCAAGGCCCTCTCCAAACCAGGCAGCCTGACATCCAAAGTAACGCCATATCCCTGGGCCAGGGGCCACCGGAATGGCTGGAAAGGTGAGATTCCAAGCCCCAGGCCCAGGGCCTACACCCTCAGCCCTTGAGAACCTGCAGCCACAGCACGAGAGCTGAAAGAGGGAAGGCACGGAAAAAATACCATACGACCCCAAAGAGAGGGCAGGATCCGAAAGGCCTGGCCTTAGAGCGCTGCTCTCAAAGGGGCATGGAAAAGCGAGGGACGGCAGGAAGAGGAGGCAGGGGATCAAAGCCCCGGCAGAGGCTAAGGACTCGTAGCGGTACGGTCCCTTCCCACTCAGAAGGCCACGGGCAGCCATGAGCCAGAGGACCCAGACCTGGGCAAGCAGAAAACCAGCACATGCTCCCAGAAGGGACCAGAATCCAGGCCAAATCTGGAGAGAGCTTCAAGCTCAGAGGAAATGTGGTTTGCAGGGCCAGTTCAAAGATTTTCTCACCCCTTCCTTAGAAACCAAAACGCCCCTCCCTCAACAAGCCCTGCCCCACGTCCGTCCACGGGGCAGAAGTCCAGCCAAGGCCCGGAAGGCTCCTTACCACATGCGGGCTGTCGTAGTAGACGGCGATGGAGCGGAGCCTGGGGCACACACTGCAGCTCTCGGTGAAGAGCCGCCCTGTCTCGTTGTAGGGCCCCGTGTGGAACTTGTAGGCCACAGTGACATTGCGAATGGGGGGCGAGCCAGCACTCACTGCCACCCCAGCCAGCAGTCCCGAGTACCCAGCGAAGGCCAACAGAGTCAGCAGCAGTAGCAGAGTGAGGCCCCCAATGAGGCCCAGTAGTAGCAGGTCCGACATGGCTCTGTGTCCCCACGCCGCACCCCAAGGCAGCTGCAAAGGAGACAGAAGGGAGAGGAGGCTGGTAGCCTGCTCTGATCAACGTGCCCACCTGCCCGCCAGCCAGTTCTGGCCCAACCTCACCCTGCCTTGGGTGCTCTGACCCAGAAGGAGTGGCCAGAGGTGTTTACACACACAGTGACCTAGAAGGGAGCTACAAAGGATGACTGAAGCCACAAGCCTCCTTATTTCTTAACCACAATACTGAGGCTCTACAGCAGCTCTGCCTGTCAGCTGGCAGCCTTGGTCACACCTAGGGAAACTGAGTCATAGAAGACACAGGAGTGAGTCGGCCAGGGACAAACTGCCAGCTCTGACCAGCTTCCCAAGATGGGCCAGATGTCGGCCAGCCTGCCTTCCCCCCACACTATCTCTTCCTCCCCACGGCTGAGTCTCACTGCCTACCCAGTCCTCCCACCCCCACCCCCAAGTCTAATGGACCACTGCCAGAGGGAGGACGGGCGAGCACCAGGGTCTGAACACTTATTAACAAACGGGGAAACCACGAGGAACAAGCCCAGGGGGGACAATGCGCTGCAGGAAGAGAGTTTCATAGGAAACTCTCCTGTGCTGAGCACATCTGGCCCATGGAATCTGGCCGTCCAGCAAGCTCACCCGTCCAGCACCAGAAGAGACCAGATCGACACAGGAGCAAAATCCAGCACTATGCTTCCCAGACTGGAGCCACCACTGCTAACAAGCTTCATCCCACTTTTCCAGCCCATAGATTAAAAACGGCAAGGAAGAGGGAAAGGCTGCTAGATGTGGGGACACACCACAGGCAGAAGTAGCCGTCACTTGCCCTTGGCCTGAGCATTTCATTCCGCAGGGGAGGGGTGCCAGCCTGGGAGGGAGCCACGCCTGGGGTCCATTTGCTGCTCCATCCCTTCCCCTCCATCTCCCTCCCTTCCCCCACCCCCCTACATCTCCAGGTGTTTAGCATTTAGTTTTTTGGTTTTGATCTTCCCAACCCACCTCCTGTACTAGGCAGTTCACAGAAAGGCAAGGTGGGGTGTGGGGTCCTTTTACCTTTTTGTGTATGTCATTTATCTGACAATTCTCCCTTCTCCCCATGGGCCTTCCCCCATTCCTCATATTTGTACAGTCCAGGGAATAAAGACATTTACTTCAGGAAAATAAAATAGAAGCCAAGAAGCTATGCAAGAGCAGGCCATGGACACCACACTGAGGCTGCTGGAGTGTGAGACATTCAAGGCAGACCGCCCAGCTCTCCACAAAACCTGGGGCCAGAGGCCTAACTCTCTCCCGCGGAGGGCTGGACCTGAGTCGCCTGGGGCGGAGAAAATCCCAGCGCAGAAAAGACTGTTTAAAGAGGAAGGGGAGTATGTGACCCAGGAAGGAACATTCCCAACCCCAAGCATTTAAAATTTAAAACTTTTGGGAGACAAAAGTCAACACACTTTGGCCCTATGGAAAAACTTAGCTCTGCGAAATATTTTGTTCCCTGAGGGTTATGTGTGTCAAAAATTTCGCTGAAATACTGTCTTTGGACTTAATGCGCAGAGGCAAAATAACCCTCGAAAACCTCGGTGCCATGACACTGGGGTGCCTCGTGCTGCTCCTCTCACCCACTCGCGTTCCTGCCTCACAGCTGCCCTGTATTTTTCCGCCACGTTCCCTGTCCTACTGGGCTCATCTCCTGATAATTTCATTCCTGTTTTCTTTGATAAGGATGATGATGATAAATCTTTCACTGGGTACTCACTATGCCCCAGGCACTGTCTAAATGGTGAAACACGGCTACTTCATTAAGCCTCAAAACAACAGAGACACAGATTAGGAAACCAGCGCTTAGAGGTTAAGAGACTTGCCCAAGGTCACACAGGTACTAAACAGACCTGGACCAAGATGCTGGCAAAAGGGACCCAGGCAGTCTGGTTCCAGGCCTCCTCCCTGGTGCTGGTGACAGGGTTTCCAGGAAAGCCCATGCCTTTAATTCAGATTGGACATCTCTGAACCCAAGGCTCCCAACTGGAAGCCCTCAGTGTCCAGGTCTCTCAGGTCTCTCACCTACCTTGGGAGTGACAGACCTCACTCTGCAGTACCCTCTCAGCTGCACACTCCCAGTGGCCTCAAAAGAACTCAGTCTCGCCTTTCTCTTCCTCAACTTCTCAGAAAAGGGAGACTATGACTCTGGGGATCCCAGAGCTTTGGTCGGCACAGGAAGGAGGCGGGGCAATGTGAATTTCCCCAAACTCAAGAGAAAGAGGAGGAGAAAGGCTGGGGGAGCTCACCCGAAAAGGCCAGGCTCACTTTTGGCAACTCATGGCATCCAGTGAGGCAGGGACGAAGTGCTCCAGTGCTGGGGGCAGAGAGAAAAGAACCGCTGAGCCGGGCACCATGCCCTGACCGCTCCCTTTTCTGGGAAAGCCCTCCAGGGCCGCGACGAGAACCCCGCCTTCCCCTAAGGTTGCACCCGCACCACGTCCTCAGTCGCCTTAGGGAAATCACAAGCCGAACGGCCTCACCAAGTCAACTCCTCACTCCCTGCTCAAGCCCCTGCTCGTGGAGAGCAGCCCCTCTTCCAAAAGGGCTCCAGCCGCCGCACCTGACCCTGAAACTGCCACTGCCGCCGACCCCGGCCAGGCGGGGCCCCCTCTCCAGCCTCCCGGGGTGGTCGCCTCCGGCGGGTACGGGCGAGCGTCAGGGCGGGCTGTCCGGCGCGGGCTTCCTGGAGCCGCTCACGTGTGGCGGGCCAGCCCTTCAAGGGCCTCGCTGCAGACAAACTTCGGCGCTGGCGGGGAGCGGGAGGACCCGGACTCCGAGGGGCCTTGCGCGGGGAGGAGGAAACGCCGCCTCCCACTCTCGGCTTCCATCCCCGGCCCGGCGGCGCCTCGCCTACTTATTTACCCAGCCCCTTTTTTGTCCACGACCTCATTGGGGCCCCAGACACCTCCACAACTTCAGGGAGGCTAAAGTTTGCAGCCGAAGCGGCGAGGCGTGGCCTCGGGAGGCGGGGGCGGAGTTAAAGTGAGGCTCCAGCCTCCGTCCCCTCTCCCTACCCCTCCAGCTCCATTGCCTCGGGCCGTGCTCCGCGTCCGCGGCAGGGGGCGGCACGGCTGGTCCAAGGTCGCGGTCAGGCCCCAGGACCCGGCCCCGGCCAGCTGTGGGCCAGCCGAGATGCAAAGAGCGGCCTGACCCGCGGGGGTTACGTAGGGGACGCGGGAGGCCCTGAAGCCGCGCCCGGGCCGGCAGAGGTCCCAGGCCC